TGTGGTACTGGAAATAACAGAAGCCAAAGGAGAGCATATTTTGAAAGCATTCTATTTTATTGGTCATGCCTTCTGGACAGTGTTCATTTGGCAACTATAAGCAACAGACCATGACTGTTGTCCAGATGAATATTTGCACTTTTAATCAACAATTTCCAAGGAATAGTTCTCTTCCCTCCTAATCTGTCTTCTCCAACGGCATGAAATGTCTGTTCTGGACAACTTTTAAATTGCACATCTCTGGTTGGGAAACTTGTTCTGTCTTCCTATGATGACAAACATCTCTACATATTTAACAGCGTAAAACTTTTGAAAGTGGGGTGGGATGAGGAATCTCTTTTGCTTTTTAATTCTTGGAGACTACAAGTATGGCACAAGTGTCAGTCTCACAAGGGTAACTTAACTTGTGGTTATGTTTTGCCATCAATCATTACTGAGATTGCTAGAGCAAGTCCCATTGTTGCATGTGTTGTTATATTCCCTGCAATGTCCTTGTGTTCTTTTTGGCCTATTTCTAGCATTAATACTTCATTTTAAAGAACAGTGACTTGCTTTATACTGGAAAAGCAGATTGGCAATTCAGAGTGGGTTACAGACAGGGTGGATCTATGAGTGTTGGTTGCAGGCTTGTTTGGGGTGATACGTAGCCAGCTGGCACAGATGCCCTTCACTGCTTTCTCTGGCAACTGCTTTTATGTTCCATGATGGAATGAAAGCAAGACTGATTTCTTTGCAACCACAGAAAAATATATTGCTCCTGGATTGCTTCATACCACCAAAGAGCATCATTCGCTGGTACTGAGAAAACAACCGTTTGGAATGTGAAGCAGAGTTAGTCAACTTTTTTCTTCCCTCTACCAAGGAAACAGTACTAGGCAATGAGATCACTAAGAGATGAGGCAGGCAGGGTGGATAAGGGCAACTGTAGCCATGGATGCATCTCCTAAAAAATTTGCAGTTAGATCCAGTCTAGTAGAAAGTGTTAATTATATCTGCCCCCACTCAGAAGTGTGTGATTCCTATTTATATTCCACGCAGCAGAGGCTTCTAGAAGTATTTTTTAGATTTGCTGTTCTCAGCCTGCTGACCTTTAGAAGTGTGGCATTAACTTCCAGTATTTTCAGCCAGAACTCTTGCCAGGCTGCTTGGGAATTTTAGGAGTTGTAGTCCTAATGCATCTGGAAGATTCAAGAATGAGGAAGGCTGGTCTAAGATAATGTGGAAGCACATCTATTTTTAATTCGAATTTGAACTATACCTTCTACTAGTGTTAATTACCATAATTTCACAAATGGCTTCTGACAACAGCTGTATTGTCTTGAAGCTTTAGGATCAGTCTTTTCCTTACAACTGATAACTGCAACCTGGTTATAGCAAAAGTAATCCTAAAGTCCTAGGATGGAAAGGAAATTGCCCTAAAGGCGTATGAATCTCAACCTGGGGGAACTCCCAGTGACCCCCAGGCTTCCCAAACACTTTTCTGATGAATCTGCATTCATTGGGACCAAATGCATTCTGTTCCCTTGTGAGAAAAGGATATGTGCCTATGTTGAATAGAACTGTTTGGTCCCAAATGGACCTATCTTTACACTCTCCTAGTTGAACAGAAACTTAAATGCTACCCTAATGTTACAACAGGAGCAATGAACCTATTGTCCTCCAGATGTTGTAAATTACAACCCCTAGCAGCTCTAGCTGGCATGGCCCAGGAGGATTATAAGGGGCTGTGGTTTACCATCCTTAAATGAAAGTGTGAGCCAGTGGTTAAGGCATCAGGTTAGAAACTGGGAGACCATGAGTTCTAGTCCAGCCTTAGGCATGAAGCTTTGGGCAACCTTGGGCCAGTCACTCACTCTCAGCCCTAGGAAGGAAGCAACAGCAAACCACTTCTGAAAACCTTGCCAAGAAAACTGCAGGGACTTGTCCAGGCAATTGCCAGGAGTCAAGACCGACTTGAAGGCACCCAAAAAAAAAAAGTTTGGGTAGTAACTTCTTGGACTATGTGTATAGCACTTGGCTTCAGTAAGGATTCATACTTTAAATCTGAATTCAAGTTATCAGCCAGGGGCTGAATGTTTTTAAACATGACTAAACAAGTTTTGTTTCTAATCATTTTCCCCTCTGTTATTGCCAACTCACTCCTTGGCCAAAGAGTAGCTATAGGGTAGACTGAAACCTTCAAGTTACAAGTTCTTGAGTTTCATATCTGCTTTCTAATCATTTAATACTAAGTAAGTTGGCTGCTATGGCAAGCCTATCATTTCTTCATTTTCCACACTACAAGGCACATAAACTCAGATTCAGTAGAAATCTTCTCTGCATAGTCGAGTGGATTTCCTGCTGCAGAAAGTGATTGTGAGTAGGAGCACTGTCCACCTGGAGCAAAGGCTGAGTATCTTCAAGAACAAGAGTCTTGAGTTCTTGTGTGTAAAACATCCTTCTCCACTATGGTGTCTCCAAATGGATTTGGACTGCAGCTCCCGGAGATCATACCGGATGAGGAAATCTGAGACTTATGTCTCCATACATCTGGAAGAGGCCAGGTTGGGGAAGACTGGCATAAACCATAAGAGGTAGCTGCCAAACTGTTAGGAGGCAATACTTACCATTTGAAGTGCTTCACTTTTCAAATGTCAAGCTGTTTCACCTCAGCTGCAGTCCAACAGATTGTAGCATTCTGCAGCTGATAGCTGCAGGGCCCTTTTAATCCCCCGTGAGATGGGGTGGGCCACCAAGATGACTTCCCCAGATGTGCTATGTACAGCTTCAGGTATTAAATCACATGTGCACAGCTATGAGCATTTCATGTGGTGCTGGGAGGAATATTTGCTGCACAATGTTCAAGATTTGGGGTAGGAAGAAGAGACAGGTAATTTTTCAGTATTGACATGTGAAACTTAGTTATTTCAAACATTCCTTGAGCATATTATTATAAGGCTCTGTTCTTAAGACCTCTCTCCTTCCCTCCCTGCTTGACTGGTCCTTGACTTGTAGCAAAAATTTAGCCAAGACTTGAATTGTCTGTCCCTTTATCAATAAGGCACCAAAGACTAGTTGAGCTACTCTTCTCTCTGCCCCAGATATCTTGACTTTCTCCTTTATCAGTTTTATAATGCACTTGGAGCACTTTAAGTTTGTTTCTTGGGAGGGAAAATTGTTGCATAAAGGCCAGAGGACTCCTTGTCTTTGCACTGAATTGCATTGAATGAAGATGACTGTTCCTTCCACTGTCAGGTTAGGGTCGTAAATTGAGTTTCTTAAAGCATTTGACTCCATTTTGTCCACATGGCTGTTGAAATTCTGACTGCATCTGAAGAGGGCCAGTCTTGTGTTTTATTTATATCTGTTATTACTTTTTATATATATCAAGAAATTACCTTTATCAAGAATGGGGTATTTTAGGTATGTTTTGGTTGATACCATTTACCTATTTTCTCTCCATCAGTGGAGAGGCTACAAGAGGCTCTACCATGTTCATTTCCTTCTCTTGAATTGTAATGTTACATTTTAAAATAAAGAGGCTTGTTTTTATCTTGTGAAATGACTGCGTTTGACTTGTTATTTTTGTCATCTTCCTTGAGTCTACTTCCAATTGCCAGAATATTACTTTTCTGATCAGCTGCCAGAAAAAAAGCAATTGGACAAGGGATGATAGGCTACAAATGCCTGTAGATGCTCAAAGAGGCCAACAGTGGGGCAAAGGACACATCCTTATATGTCTAATGGTTTGAACGACTTGCACACATCTCTTAAAAGAACAGAAACCAAAACAGACTTATGCAGTCCTTAGAAGTTTTCCAGTAAAATAGGGAACTGGATCACTGCTACTTTAAAACAAACATATTTATATCTTCAGGCAAACAGTTTGGTCTAGTGGTGAAGACACCAGTCTAGAAAGCAGGAGACTGCGAGTTTTAGTCCTGCCCTAGGCATGAAAGCCAAATGGATGAATTTGGGCCAGTCACTCTTTCTCAGCCCAACTTACCTCACAGGGTGGTGGTTATGGGGAAAATAGGAGGAAGGAATAGTAGGTATGTTTGCCACCTTAAGTTATTTATAAAAATAAAGGTGGGATAAAAAAAATCAAAAAAAAAAGCAGGGAGGGGAGGGATTAGGGAAATGTTAAACTCTTCTCTACCCATACTGTATATTTCTAGGCCACCATTCCAACATAGTGAAATTGCATTTGTTTCTTCCACAAGCATTCAATGGAAGGGCTTCTATTTAAAATGGTGACTTTCTAAATAGATGTAACAAATCAGGATTCACATGCCTGAAGGGGACATTCTGGCTTTGTTTGTGAGACAGAGACAGCTTACCACAAAGGATCAGTCATATTTTAGCTTAGTGTGTTGTGCTACCCTGAGTCTCAGGTTGAGACTGAATAAACTAAGTGGAAGCATGTTGCAGGAATATCCCCACCACTGAAAGGAATTTTTTTCTCTTTCACCATTAATCTCCATCTGTTAAAATTATATACTATTAGTCCTTCTTTAAAGAAAGCTATCACCACAGTGAAATTGTTAACACGTTCAACAACCATTCCTTCACAATTCCCCAAAGCCTTTTGGCCTCATTTTACAAACATCAAAAGAAAGAAAAGTAAATAGCATATGCACTCAGCTGTTATATCCAAGTCTTGCATTCATATGTGCTTTTACATCCAAATACCATCCCCTCAGTCCCCAACTTCCATAGCTAGTTAGCAAAGCTTGCATTATTCTCTTAGAAGTCCTCTCTATCCTGATTTAATGAAAAGGAAAGAAGCTGGGGCTCGGGTGGAAGAAATAAGTCTTACTTTAATCTTCACAGTAAGGAGCAATTCAAGTACAGGACAAAAATCTTTTCTGTGCTTTCCTTGAAAATAGGACAGCAATAAAAAACACCATTTTACTAAGCAAATATGAAGAAATTGAGCACATAAATCAGTGTTTCTCAACCTTGGCCACTTTAAAATGGGTGGACTTTCAACTCCCAGAATTCCCCAGCCAGCATGGCTGGCTGGGGAATTCTGGAGTTGAACGTCCACCCATCTTAAAGTGGCCAAGGTTGAGAAACACTAACATAACAGTAGAATCAGCTCAAAAGTATTACATTTAATGGTGAGGCCAAAAAAACCTTTATTTGCTTTAAGCTTGAAATACCCAATTCCCATTTTGCCAGCTTGTAATCTCAAGGGCTAGCCTAAATATAAGGCTGCCCCTCCTCTTCTGCCAACCTACAATAGCAAACATACTATTGAGGTTTCGGAGCTAATGGAAGGATTGCCCAAACACTGACCTGGTTGATCTGAACCATCCAATCTCTCCTGAATCTGAGCAAAGGTCCTCATTTGTGCAACAGCAGGGAATTGGAAAGGAAAGCCCAGGTGTGGGCTCTTATAACTGTAGTTCCCTGAGTACCTATTGTTTTCCAGGCAATTAAAAAAACCTCCTCTAGGCTGTTATAAGCTAAGTTATAAATCCCTCTAGCTCTGTGGCAGATGTTCCCTAGGGTTTTATTACAACCCCCTTCCCCCCTGCAATGTTAGGCAAATAAAGTTTATCTTGGCACAGAGTAGTTTTCCCCAATGTGGGTGCCTTATAGGCCCATGAATTCAATTCCCAGAATTCCCCAACCAGCCTAATTGTTGCTGAGAATCCTGGGAACACATAGCTAGAGTGCCCAAGTTGGGGAAGTCTGGCACAGAGCAATAGCTTGGCAGTTATGGAGTGTTTTGAGCCATTCTTTTCATGCAACATTTGGGAAGAAGGAAACCTGAAACCTCTCACAGCAGGGTGTAAAATGTTGCAGCCTAGTGTCCAAATTGCATCAAGCCCTCTAAGCGGGGAGATGAGAGGGGATCATGACTACAGATACGAATCCCTTTTCTACACTCCTGGCATCTTTCCTTGGTTTACTCTGGAAATGCTGTGGATTATACTGAAAGGGAAAAATCAGGGTGTAACTTTACCTCAAGTTCCGATAGGATTACATTATTATTACTATTATTCTTAAAACTTGCAAAGATTCATAATCTACAGCTCTGTGAAATGGAACACATCATACAGCTCTATAAAATTCAAAAACCCAGTGCAATGACTTCTGTTAATAAAACATTTGTTTAAATAACTTGATTTATGATCAGAATATCCTTAACCGAACCTTCTAATCTTTCCTTTACTCACCAAAAGATTGCGTAAACACACTCTATGGAGGGACAACAAAAAAGAGGGAGGGAAAAAAATAGGATCCTAATAGGGCCGTTAAGGTGGTTCAGAGTTCATGGGGCATTCATGAATCACCTTTCTGCAACTCCTTAAACCAAACTTGATTTTTTTCTGCAATCACCCAGCAGCTGCAGAGGTAGGCACAGTGTCCCAGGAGAAGACACATCTGCTCAAGGAGTTGCAAACAAGTGCTATGAGAGCATAGCCCCACATCTTCTGTGGCATAGCTCTAAACCCTGACACATCTAGTAGGCACCAAATGGTGAAAAATTATTCTACCAAAAACCACAGTAACGTATTCTCAATTCCATCATTTCCAGCCAGCATAGCTAATGGCTATTTTGGCTGGGAGTGAAGAGATGTACAATGGGATCTCTGGAGAGTGCCTGGTAGGGACTAGTTGCTTTTGACTTAGAGCTTGGCTTTTACTTTTGGAGAATGAAGGGGGCATCTCATACAACTCAATGATAAATAGGAATTGACTGGAAGGATTAACTCTGGAGCTCCACTTCCAATCTGCTTCAAAAGATGACACGCAAACCACATGAGACTAGAGAGCCATCTGCTGGGAATGCTTTAATTTCAATTCCTATATTGAGCAGGCAGGTGGACCTTGCCCTAAGTGGCCCTTGTAATTCTGATCCTATCATTTTATTTTATTTTATTTTATTTATTTATATATCACATTTATATAGTCGCCCATCTCACACAAAGTGACTCTGTGTGTGAGATGGGTGGCTTTGTGAGATCCCATTTGTTGGGATTTCAATCAAAAATGCAAGACTAGGTTGATCTTGATGTAATCAAACAAGGCATTTTACACAAGATGATTTAAGGACACTGAAGCAGAAATTAATTTTTGTTAAGAGACACTGCTATGTAAGACGGAGAGATTCTAATCGTGTGTCTAATGAGGCATTTTACCATGCAGTTACTTTGCAGGGAATCCAGGTGATGTCATCATCATCTCTCATTTGTAACCATGGTTTTCTCAACTAGCTTTTTCCTTCCACAAAAACGTCTGTTAAGCAGAAAAATGTATAGAATGGCTGCACTATGTTTTTTATTAATAGCACTAAGATCCTCCAGGCTGGAAGAAATGTAGTAAACTAGGGGTAAGGAACCTGAGGTCCTTCACATATTGGTGAAGTACAACTCCTAGCATCCCTCACTAGTGATCACGCTGATAAAAGCTGCTGGGAGTTGTAGTTCAGCAATATTAGAAAGGATACAATTCCCCCATCCTCATTAAAAAAAACAATGCCTAAGGCCAACATCTGCCTATCCTGCTCTGGAAGATGAGTCTTGCATGAATATTTCAGCTACCTCAGAGCCAAGTATAAGCTTGTAAGCTGGAAAGTGTGATTGTTTTTTGTGATCCACGCTGACTTTCCTCATCTTGCCAAGAATGGCACCATGCTGGCGCTACACCAGGAGAAATCACTCTGAGACCAATCTGCACAGAACAAGGGAGGTGGTCTTCATCAGGATCAATTCACTGAAGAGGTCGTAAGAGGTCTCTGAAGCTTTCCAATTCTTTAACACTTGTTGAAATCCTGCATGAGACAATTAAAATAAATAAATAAATAAATAAATAAGAGTTCCTTTGGTTACTGGACATAAGTATAGGATGGCATCTATATTTAGCTAATCTGGAAGAGACTGTGGAAAGGGAAAAAAGTGAATGTGAAAATACATGACATTGAATTAATCTTCCCGATAGAAAGTGTCAAGCTCACCTTCCAAAAGCATTGAAGAGGGACACAATCTCCTGCCTTGTGAGATGAAATTTGTGGGAAGGACCTTTTTCTGGTATATTTTCTATCAGGTTTTCAGAAAAGAGGATCTTCAGTGCTGTTCCCAAACCCTGAGTCTGCACACAATAGAAACAAGATGTCAGCTAAACATCACATCAATAAGTGAAGTCATAACCACTATGAGCTTTTTTAAAAGTCAAAAATGGCAATTGAAATAAAGTAAATAAATATCCTGTCAAACATACAAGTCTTACATCAGTTAAACCCATATAATTTTAATGTAAAAGTAAAGAAGAAAATAGAGCCTCCTTTATATTATTTTTTATTCATTTTAATCATTTCATTTCATAAAATGAATCATCTTATTCATTTATCACATTTATATAGCCGCCCATCTCACACAAAGTGACTCTGGGTGGCATTTAATTAATGCACACACACACACAAATAGATGCCCTAAGTGTAGCTAAATTCTGCTATGTCATATGCAAAATGTACCGATTGATAAGCCCAATCAATTTTACAATTTGTTCTTTTTCATATGTAACTTTTTTTTTTTTTTACCACTGAGCTTTATTTTGTTCTGGTCTTTGATTGCAATAAAGATATTCGACTGGATATGCTGAATGGCAAACTTCACCTTAGGGAAGGAATTCTCAAAGGTAAGAATATTTTTGCTGTGATAATGTTGACTAGCAATATACCTGGATAATTCAGTACTTGTATTAGCTATAGTTCTTTTTACAAAACATCATCATCATCAACCTAATGACACTCTTATCAGGTGCAGAGTGGAGAAGGGAAAAGATGTAAAGAGAGCCAGTTTGGTGTAGTGGTTAAGGGGCTGGCCTAGCAACTGTGAGTTCTAGGCTGTGAGTTCTAGGCCTCCCTTAGACATGAAAGCTGGCTGAGAGACTTTGGGCCAGTCCCTCTCTCTCAGCCCAGCTCACTTCACAGGGTGGCTGCTGTGGCAAAAATAGGAGGCAGGAGAATTAAATATGCTTGCCACCTTGAGTTATATATAAAAAGGGGGGATAGTAATAATAGCAAAAGGCAGCTTTACTTGGAACAGCTTATATCCTGCGACGATACCTTTAACACCATCAAACAACAACATCTGCCTATCCCAGGTTTTTGGGAAGGACTCAATAGGTGGATAAAAATGCCAAATCCACCCTAAACATCTGGCTGACTGTGCGGCCAACCATAACAAAACAAACTCTGGACAGCGCAAATATAATGCTCCTGATTTGTCATAGTATAATTCGACAAAGCTGTAGGATCGTAGGTTGATGAATCAGGAAACTTGGCCAAGCCATTGTTGAACCAAGAAAATGGATCTGCTTATGCACACACTTGAATGCAGTATTTTCTGGTTTTTTAAACTTCCGCTTTAAGTAACACGTAGACTGGGTCATTCTGGTTTGAGTGTCTCACACAAACCAGGTTGTCAAACCACATGGAATTGCCTAGGGCTTTGCTAAAGTGGAAATCGTTACATGAATAAGAGACCCTCCTCAGATGCCCGAGCAGGACTGCAGGTACAGCTCTCTGGATCACAAGGCAAAACTTTCAAAAGGTCCCAATGGTGAGAAGAGAGAGCCAGTTTGGTATAGTGTTCAGGCACCAGGCTAGTAATTGGGAGACTGTAAGTTCTAGGCATGAAGCCAACTGGGTGACCTTGGGCCAGTCCCTCTCTCTCCTAGGAAGGAAGTAATGGCAAGCCACTTCCAAAAAACCTTGCCAAGAAAACTGCAGAGACTTGTCCAGGCGGTTGTCAGGAGTCAACCCTGACTCAAAGGCACACAGACAATTGGTGAGAAAGTTCAGGGGGTGAGCTCCTGTCCAGGCTGCAGCAATTGGGGGGCAGGCAGGAAAAAGGGAAGCAGAGGATCCCCAGCTACTTCTTCCCCATCACTGCCATAGTAACAACCAGTGTTTCTCAAACTTAGTACCCTTAGCAACTTTAAGATATGTGGACTTCAACTCCCAGAGTTCCCCAGCCACCTGGCTGGGGAACACTGGGAGTTGAAGTCCACATATCTTAAAGTTGCTAAGGTTGAGAAACACTGATAATAATAGTCCTGAACCTGACAAGTGTCTCTCCCATACCTCTATGGTCACCCAAAGCATTCCTTCTGGTGCTCAACCTCCCAACTCCATTCCCTTCTGAAACCCCCCACACTGGCCTTCTGATGTCTCTTTCTTAGGCTTACTGTATTTGACTACAAACCTCTTGATAATAGCTAGATGGCAGCAAAGGTTTTCTGTATCTCTTTGCTGACATCTAGTGCTATTTGGATTTTTACAGCCCAAATATACATATATAAATACAGCCCTCTCCCCTCATCGCTTCATAAGGAGAAAGAAGGAAAGGATAATGCTTGTTTTCCAAGAATGCCCCTGAAGGCATTTTTAGAATATTAAAGCTGAGGCCTGAAGCCTAACGCTTTGCTTGGAAATAGGTCAGCCAGCCCAGAAAAAATCATGGAGGTGAACTAAGTTGTTGCAGAGCATCCTGGGAAGATATGGGGATATGGGGTGCCCTTCTGGGAGATATACTCCATGCAGCTATTTTGTGGGAGTACCCGTAAAATGCCCTCAAAATTAATGTGCCCATCAACTCAAAATGGATCTCTGAGCTAGAAAGTTTCCTGGAACAAGTGAAAGACATTAAAAATGGGCTTTGTATTCAGATTCTCTTAATGGGTATCATTTGGATCTTCCTTTTTGTCCAGATCTGCTTTTATTACCAGTTTAAATATGTGAGCAAACTCAACTAATGTCCATAGCAAATTGTTTCTACTATTCAGTCCAGGTTAAGATGTAAGGTTTCAAAATCAATAAATCCACTAAACCCATGGGGAAGGGGAAAGGAGAAAAATTGGGCCAAGAAGAGGGAGTAACTTACTTGCAGCTTCCCCCAAAGGCGGCATTTCAGACATTCTACACAGTCCATGATCCTTGAAATGTTCCTAAAATGGAGCCGAAATTCTTCCTAAGAATAAATGAACAAATGAATGGTTTAAAAATTTTACTAGTTTATCTTTTATTTGAATCCACAGCACTTCTCCCTATTCAATACCTTAGTTAGTTCAAACAGAAAAATCCAGTCCTTTATACAAATTAGAATAATATTGACAAAATGTTTTTGTATTGCCACATTGTCCGTTAATACAGTATCTCCCTCTTGTAATTTCAGTATCATTTTCTTTTCTCTTTCTCTTCACAATTTATAAGCCAGCCATTTCCCTGGTTTATTTACAAATTCAAAATTGCTTTGCTTTGCATAATTCAATTTTATTTCCATTTCTCTTATTGTTAACATGGATAGTTGTTGCTGCAAAATCTTAATTTGTTGGGAAATACTTGTATTCCCTGGGGAGTTCCTTAATTCTTTTTCTTTTCATCTCATCCAAAATATTTTGTATTTTCACTTGCCTCTTCTTCTTAAGTTCAGAATTATGTTGTATCAGATAGCCTCTAATAAAGGCTTTACTTGCATCCCAAACCATTCTCAAACTTTTATTTAAATTATTTTCATTCTTGGGATCCAGGTAACCACCCCAGACTTCTGTCTGCAATTCCTTAAAACCAAAGGTATCTTTTCATGGAAATATCACAGAGACAAATCCTGGGAAAAAATTCAGTTGCCTCAAGGAGTTATATAGAGGGGCTACATCTGTGCCTCCTGTGACCTCAGAAGTACATTTTTGTCTTTGAACCCAAAGCATGGCACAGCCCTTTTAATTTGCCCTTTTTCTATAACTACATTTCAGGGATAGGAAATCTGTCCTTCTCCAAATATTGCTGAATTACAACCTACAGTAGTCCTAGTCAATAAAATCAATAGTAAAGGATGTTGGGAGTTGTAGTCCAATAATGCTTGGAGTCTGTTTCCTAGGGTCTGTTCTAAATGCTTGTCTGTTTCAGATCCATTTCTTATGGAATTCTTCTAGATAATATTCCAATCTTTACCCTGTTTCACATATTTTTGTAGAGGGCCCAAGTGAGCCAAAGTGATCTTTATTTTTCTCTCCCAGAAGCTGGTTAGTAATATTTTATAGTTTGATGCTATAATTCCCAAGTAATTTCTAACTGGAATGTGTTATAATATCCATACCAGCTTAACAAGTTAGACTTAGAGGCTTCACTGCCACAAATGGAATCCTCTATCAGGAGCGTTTGCTTTTAGATCCCACTGTGCTTACAAACAAAAGGTGCATTTTTCCCCCAGAAGGTGACTCAGGATAGAAATGTTACCTTTAACTTGGCAGCTTCTTTTTGGTTTCCAGCAAAAAGTGAATTTTCGTCAAAATGCAAAGGGAAAGATCTGAAGCAGAAGACAAACACTATTGATAATGAAGGTCTTTCATTGTAGAAGAAAATGAAAAAAACCCTATTCATCATTAGCTATTAATTTGAGTAGTTCTTTTAAGGGTTTTGTATTGATTTCTGCTGTAACTAGGATCTTAAGATTCTAGTGAGATTTTGAGATGCATGTACTACTGTACTATTGTCATTTGCCTTCAGGGCTACACCTTGTATTTCACAAACTTTACAATTCATTACACTGAACATCGTTGAAAGCTGATTGCCTTCAGCAATTGTACTGTGGAGAACAGTCATAAATTAAACATACTTCTGATTTATGCTACCCAGACTCTGTTGAGGCACTAATCAAGTGAGACTAGCACGTTTATCTTTTAGCCCTTAATTGCAACTGGAGAGAAGACAGGTTTAGCTAGGGTCAGAAGCAGCATAAAATCTAGGTTTATTTAGAGGATAAATATATTTTAAAATGTTACTACCACCTACCCAAAATTGAGATCTTATACTGATGTTAGGGATGCTAAATCTGGGCAACAAAAATCCAGACAATAATTAGATGCTAGCAAAGAGTTAGGACTTTTCCACACTGCACCCTTAAGCTGCTTCACTCCTGTCAGTAACCAGCTGGAAATAAAGCTGGCTTCAAAAAAAAAAAAAAATCCCTTTCCAGATCTCAGCCCCTTCCTCTGCTTTGGCCACAGTGATGGCCTGGCAGACCATGCTTATCATGGCCCCCAATTCGTGGATTCCCCTGCTTCTTTATCCCTCCCACACACACTAGGAATGCAGACACCCATCACTTTACTTTCCATGGGCATATGGTTTCATCAACAGACTTTTTGTGTGAGACCCTCCTTTGACTCACCCAGTACTTGACATCTCATCTATGTGTCCACCAGTGAATGGGTTAAAAAACAACCCCCGCCCAATATTCTCTGACATTTTGGCTAAGGGGAAACTGGCAGAACTCTTGTCAATTTCATCTGCTTAAAAAAAAAAAAAATCCACAATTTCAAAAGGCCAGCCTTTCACCATTCTAGTGTTTAAAAAAAGCTGGCATTTCATTGGTCCAGCAGCCCAGCATGAAATAGCTGTGGAAGGCAGCGACTAGTTACTGGAAGAGAGGGGACATTCCTGCCAGAGTGCACAGTAGCCAAATGAAACGGAGGGACTCCCCACAATTAAATGAAGTGCAGTAGATGAGCCAGACTTTATTGCTTGAGCTAGCACAAGTCAAAAACCAGTATTTTTGATGTGCAGAAGGAAAAGATGGGTGGAGGTTACCTCCCTGGTGGGCTGGGTACAAGCAGAGAAGGATATTGTGTGTTCCTGCCCTCCAGAACCCCACACTCACACTGAGGGCAACTCAGCCCTCATTGCCATCTATGGGTGATCTTGATTTCTGCCCAGACCTGGTAACTCTAACATACTATATCCTCTCAGTTCTTTCCCTGACAATATAGTATCTCTTGTTTAAGCAGAGGATTGCTTGCTTGTCAAGAATTTTTAACTGTTTATTTGCATTTCTTTAAAGCAACAATCTACTATTTCATTGCAGTGACTAAGTGGATGCTGTCACACCAACCATAAAATACATACCCTGTTCTCACAAAATAGAGAGGTCTGGTAGCGAGAGCTGGATTTTTCTCTAACTTACATTCCCACATTCCACTGATCAAACTATTTTTTTCCTCCAGTCTAGTTCTGATACCTAAATCGGAAAGCAAAGGGCTTGGAGCTATAGATCACTGAGAAGTATAGAATTATAGGGTTGAAAGGGACAATGGAGGTCTTCTAGTCCAGGGTTCCTCAACCTCAGCAACCTTAAGATGGGTGGACTTCAACTCCCAGAATTCCCCAGCCAGCATGGCTG